CTCCTCCTGCCTGTGTGCGCTCCTCCTGCCTGTGTGCGCTCCTCCTGACCGTGCGCGCTCCTCCTGACCGTGTGTGCTCCTCCTGCCTGTGCGCGCTCCTCCTGCCTGTGCTGCTTGCGCCCCCTACCTGTGCGCTCCTCCTGTGTGCGCGCCTCCTACTTGTGCGCGCTCCTGCCTGTGCGCCCCCCCGCCTGTGCGCGCTCCTGCCTGTGCGCCCCCCGCCTGTGCGCGCTCCTGCCTGTGCGCGCTCCTGCCTGTGCGCCCCCCTGCCTGTGCGCGCTCCTGCCTGTGCGCCCCCCCCTGCCTGTGCGCCCCCCCTGCCTGTGCGCCCCCCGCCTGTGCGCCCCCCGCCTGTGCGCGCGCCATACCTGAGTGCACGGCGCGGTGGCTAGCCAGGTTGCCTTTATAGCGGAAGGCAGATCGGCACAGCTGGCATTTGTAGGGCTTGTCCTCGTCCCCCGCTGCTAAGGGGTCCAGCCCCGAAGAGCACCCCGCCACAGCCTCGCAGTCCTGGCAGCTGAAAAACTCGCTTCCTGGGAAGGGCGGGGAGCGAAGACAACTTTAGTTACCGCGGACGCCCCACCCCAGGGGCCAGCAAAGCCTCAGCGGTGCACTAGCAGACGTGCCGCCGCCCTTTAACCCCTCATTCGCTCCGAGGCTATCCGGACCCCTCGGCTTGCCCACGGCCCTGCCCTCAGTGAGCTGGCTCTGACGTAGCAGGGTGCTTGCGACTGTCAGTGGTGGCGGCAGAATGTGGGGGTTCTCGGAGCGGGTGGAGCTTGCTCCCCTCCGTTCCTGCCTCCCTCGGGCTGACACCCTGCCGGAGGGGCCCTGCCTAACTGGGCAGATGGCCCAGCTCTGGTCGGCGAGGCTGGGAGTTCCCACTCTGTGCTGCAACTCGGAGGACGAAGCTTCAGAACACTCATGTTGGTGCCCACTCTCAGACACCCTGACGGAGGGGACATCTCCGCGGAGGGGTCTAATCTGCAGGCAGGTTTGGGAAGGATCAAGCCGGCCTTTTCTGGGGTCCCTGGGCCCAGATGGACCCGGAAGAGCTGCAGGAGAGCAGCCGGAATCTTACCTGGCGGTGGGCACGCCTGCTTAGAGGTCGAGAGAGGAGCCTCCTGAGCGCGGGCCGTGAAGGGGCAGGGGTCATTCGCTGGAGCTCCACATTTGAATCCTGCGGCGGTAGCAGCCGGAGATAGTCTAGGCAGATGGTGGGAGCCACAGAAAAGGTTAGGGGTTCCGTGTGCGCTGTTGCTTTCCAGGAGAGTGCAGACATCAAGCCAGCTCTGAGTGTGAGCGAATGCTCCTCAGCCACGTCCCCTCCGGCTTTTGGCCAGCTCTGAGTGGGCTGTATCTCTAAACCTGTCCCCAGCACGCGCCCCCCGGCCCACCCCCTGGCCCTCCTCCTAGAGCAGGCCAGCCTCTGCCACTCTTGGGAGTCAGGAAGTGCAAACCTGCTGCGGAGCCCGGGCGTGGGTCCCTCTTCGCTGCTGCTGCTGGCTTCGTCGCCGCTCGGGAGCCGGGCCTGGGGGCAAGGCCGGCCAGAGTTCTCCCCAGCCCGGCTCCCCGCCTGTGCGGTCTGAGAATTCAGCACAATAAACTTGTATTTCTTCCAGTTGCAGGCCTTGGGGTCTGGGCTGGCTGGGCTCGGGGGGCCTCGGCTGCAGCTTCGCGACTCCGTGGGCGGATCTGGGTGTCCTTCCGAGCGCCTGGGGCTGCCCGCTGGGGGACCCGCGGGGGGCGCTGGGGGCTCGGCCTCCAGGGGCCGCAGGGAGATGCCCAGGGGTTCACAGCTGGAAGAGCACGGTGACATTAGCGCGGCCTCGTCGTCCCCGCTCTGCCCCTATCCCGGCCCGCTTCTCCGGGGAGCGCACGCCCGGGCCCCTTCACCTGGCCTGGATGAACCGGTGGCACGCCTGGACGACGTGCTCCATCTGCAAGTAGGTGGCGGCCGCCAGGACGGCCGGCGCGGTGGCTGGGGAGAGGCGCAGCCGGGACGTGTACATGAAGTCCAGGAGGGGCGCAAAGCCCCCGGCTTCCGGCCCCCCGGGCAGAGAGAGCACGTCCACCCCGACGCCCGCTCGGCCCCGGAAAATCGAATAGAAGAAGCCGCTGGAGGGAGGACAGGCGGCGGCGTGAGGGGCCGGAGGGCGCGCAGGCCCGGCTCCCGCTGACCCCGGCTCTGGGGCTGCCCCCCGCCCCGCCGGCCCGAGCCCCACCCCTCCAACCTGCAGGCGATGAGCACGGCCTTGTGCGCCCTCAAGGGTTGCCCGCCAACCAGCAGCGTGACGTCAGTGAGGATCCCGCGCAGGCGCAGCTCGTTCAGGTTGCCCAGCACGTCGGAGGAGTGGCGGGTGAACTCGCGGACGTAGCCCGGCGCTCCCTCGGGGGCCGCGGTGGAGCCCATGGCGACCAGGCCTGCGCCGGCCCCCGAGAGGGTTAGGGGGTCCGGGCGCCCCTGAGACACGACCCCTCTCCGGCGTCCTTCCCGGGCGCCCCCCGTCCCGCTCGGTCCACTCTGCTCTCAACGGCCGCTTCCTCCCCTTCGCCGGGTGGCAGCGAGTTAGGAATCGTCGCTGCGCCCGGAGGGCGAGCGTGGCGCACCCGCACGCCGGGCGTCGGTTCGAGTCTAGCCACCTCGCCCTCCGGTCCCGTCCTCTCCGCCCGCGCGCCCGGCCTCGGTTCCGGGCCTGAGACACGGGTGCAGCCCGCGCCCTCCGGGGCGACCCCTGTCGTGCGCCCTACGCCCCCATCGCCTTTCAGCACAGTGTCTGCGACTCCGGGCTCCTTGCCCCCGACGACCCCCGAGCCCCCGTGGGGACCCAGCAGACGCGCTCCCTCGAGGTCTGGTTCTTACCCCCGTCCTGCAGGGGCTGCGGCTCCTCTCCTCCGGGGGCGGGGCGCCCTCCCGTCTGGGCCTCGGCTCCTTTATCCGCCGGGATGGCGGGGGCGGGGTGAGCCGGGTCCGTGCCCTTCCTTCCTCTCCGGCCCTGCAGATGGTGAGCCGGGGCGGGATCTCGGGGCGGCGGGTGGTCGCGCCGGGAGGGATGCGCTGGAGGAGCGGGGAGGCGCTGGGGCTGCGGGGGCCGTCGGAGGGCCTGGGCGGCTGCTGGGGGGGAGAGGAGACGCCGCAGAACTCCCCTTCGCGGCGCAGCGGTGCCGGGGGCGGGGGGCGGCCGTGGCCCCGGGGTCGGAGAGGGGAGAAGGAGGCGGGACCGCCGGGCGGGTGCGCAGGGCGGCGGGGGCTCCGGCCGGGCGGTAAGGAGAGGGCGGATGTGATTTCTAGTTCGTTTCCTTCCATTGTCCTGCGGCCGGACGGCTCCCGCAGCTGCTTCCCCTCGAGGAGGTGGGGAAAGCCCCGGGTCCCGCGGCGTCCGGCCTGTGACGCGCGGCCCTCTCGGGGACCCGGGGACACAGACTCCCGCCCCACGCCCCGCGCTGTCCGCCGGCCCCGGGCGTCGAGCGCCCGCCCGTCGCCGCGCTCGCAGCCTGGCGGGGCGCCGGGTCCAGCGCGGCCAGTGGGCAGAGCCCGGCAGTGCCCGCGTCCGTCCACGAGGGGGCGGGCGAGCCGCGCCGCGCCCGCGCTCTCCTCCCGCCCTGTGCTCCAGGAGCCGCCTCCTCTTCGCGATAGCTCATCCCGCACCTCTGTCTCCCAGGGCTAAAGGACGGAGGACCTAGGGAAGCGCAGGCTGGAACGCTTGCGAGATTGGCCTTGGACTGAGGGGAGCTTGGGACCAGGTGGGGTCTGGAGCCTGGGGAACACAGTTTGTCTTTTTCCTCATTAGAGACACTGCTCCCCACATGTCTGTCTGGAGACGTGAACTTTTGATGAACGTTCCTGTGAACGCTGGGTGGAGTGGACAGTGCGGAGGAGAAAGGGCAGAGGCACGTAGGCAGGGACCCCAGCCTTGGATTCTGTCTGGGGAGCCTTGGGGTGGGAGGGCAAAGGGCGTTTGCAGAAGAGTGGCCAGAGCTGAGCCCAGGCGGAAAGCCTAAGAGTCGACCAAGAATGACTGAGCAATGACCATGGTCCTGCATATCTAGGCCTGAGGCCTCTCCCTCTTGTGCTGGGGGGAGGGGGGTATTGTTTGTTTATTTATTTATTTTTGAGCAGACATGCTAAACAGCAGACCAATTGGGGGTAACTACGGATCCAGGATGAAGATGCGCCTCTCCTTTGTGTGGATTATTTTGGTCTCGATGCATTTTCCACCTCTCTCTCTTTTTTTTTTTTTTTTTTTTGTGAAAATATTAAGGGCTCCCTTTGATGTCAGGATGGAGTTAGCTATATGGTCAGTTTTGAGGTGCCACTTGCCATAGGATGTTATTATAGTCAATGAGTCCTGTTCTTAGTCTTGGGAGCTGAGAGCAAGTTGAAAATGTGGGGCAGGTTTTAAAGATGTCTTGGTTCTGGGATTTTTGAGACTTTTTTTTTTTTTTTTACGTTGGACGACTGGGAGAGGCTGAGTGCTCAGACTAATTTTGGGGATACAGTCTCTCTTTCCAAGGTTTAGATGAGATTGTTTGGGGACATAAAATTCGATTTGGAGCTTTTTGAAAAGAGAGCAAGACTCCACTGAGCTGGAGGCCGAGCAGGGAGCAAGTGTAGAAGCTTTTTGTGCTTGAGGACCTGGTGGGGGCAGATTTTATATTTGAATCTGGTGCAGACTCTGACGGAAGGCTGTCCCTGCGGCACGAGGGAGGTGTGAAACTCCTCCAGAGCAGACACTGAGAAGCCCCGGCCCCCCAGCGCAGAAGGGTAGTTTGGGGGCGTCTGATTTCAGGGCGCTTTGTCGCTGAACAAATCTGGTAAATGTGATTTGAGGTTCACCTCTCCTAGACCACATTTCCGGTTTAGGCTCCCCTTTGTGCCCCAAATTGCAAAATTTTCTATTTTTTGTGAACCCCCAAATAAGCCCAGAATTTGAAGGGAGAAGCCTGGGAACGCGGTGTGTTTTGGCGTGGACTTACTAGTACGTGGCCTATTGAGCTGACGGGGGAAGGTGGCTTCGCACTCTGAACCCCGATTTCTTATGGAAGAAAAACTTGTGTTCGGAGGAAATGGAGTCTCCCTGGTTGAAGTGGACGCTCTGACCAACGCAGTGCTGCTGAAGCTAGCGGGGGCTGCGGGGGCCACGGGAGGGAATCCTGCACCCTCATGTTTTAGGATAAGAGCCTCAAACAGAAAGCAGACAGAGGACTGGGAATGAGGGCGAGCTGAGGGGGAGGGGTTCCCAACGGCAGCAGGGGCTAGAGGGAAAGCCAGGCCAGATACTCCCGCTTGGTCTCCTTCTCCCCGGCTCTCCTCCCCTCTCTCCCTCCCACCGCCCACCCCCCCAATCCAAGGGAAAAAAACTGCCTGTGCAATAGCAATGGCAGATTCCAGTCCTCCAGGCTTTCCTAAACCACCACGGAGACCAGCCAGGGGGGAGGGGAAGGGAGGGGAGGATCGGGGTTTCCTGCTGCCTTGAGACAGGGGCAATGAGCTTGACCTCTTGGCCCCTAGCCCTCTAAAGAGTGTCCCCCGGTCTGGAAGCCAGGTGTCCTGGACCCTAGCCCCCAAGCGGGGGGGCCTGGAGAAACGGGGAGGAGGAAGGAGGGAGTGACTTCCAAAATTGGCATCGGGACAGAGCAGGGCTGGCGGGAGGCAGGAGAAAGACAGAATTTTCCTGAAAAAACGGGGGTATCTAAGGACCCCAAATTTGGGTAGCTAGTTCAGGACCGTCTTCCCAACATCCTAGATTTTTTTGGGATTTTTTGGGGACCCCGGGACCCCTCTAGATGGGGTGAGGAATGTAGTGTTGGGGGAATCTGACTGGGGCATTGCAGCTGCCTCTCCCGCCGAGTTGGAGACGGATGGGCTGGGACGGGTTTTGGGGGGGTGTCCCCAGTTCTGACTGGGAGTGGAGTAACCCCTCCAGAGCTCTCTTGTGGGGGTCCCCCTCCCCAGGGCACTCCCCAGTACTTGAGCCAGCTGAGAGGAAGGAGGCCAGCGATGCGACTGGGGCGTCTCTTTTTTCCTGCACCCCAAATGTGAGGGATGCACCCCCAAATTCGCTACTCTCAAAATAGGGGACCAGGATCTCAGGGGAGAGTAGCTGAGGTAAGTGGGGAGGAAAGTGTCCCCTGTTTTCAGGAGAGACGTGGCGGTTGGGGGGGAGGCTTGGAGGTGCGGACTGGGGTGGGGTTGCGCCTGTAACTTGGAATTGGGGGGATGAACAGAGAACCTTCTCTTGTATCCCCGAGACATAGCCCCTCATATTGAAATCAAAGCCTGAGACTCCAGAGCCCCCAATGTTCCCAGATATTAGGATAGTGTTTGATTTTTTTTTTTTTTTTTTTTTTACACCCACAAAAGCTTTGCTGGGATGGGAGCTGAGGGCCGCAGTTGTTTTGGGGGTCTCTGGGGGGTGCAGGGATCAGGAGGCCCTGGCAGGACTTGGTATAGGCGGGATGGTGGTCTTGGGGAGGGTCTGACATCCTAGGGGCCTAAAGAGACTGCTTACACCATCTCAGATCTTCTGGTTGCTGAGAGTTTTGGGGGGTGTGTCGGAAGGGTGGTGGTGGGAAAAGGTGGGATGAGGCATGGGAGGTTAGTATTGGGGTTTTACAGAGTTTTGGTTTTGCATTTTTTTAATTTCCAGAAGAAACTTTTGCCTTCTGGGAGATTCTTTTTAAAATCAAGTCTTGGACAGGAGGAAAGGGCTAAGGGAAGGCCTAGGGTTGGGGGTGGGGAAAGGCATGTTTGTCTCTGCTAAAACGTGGCTCTCAGGGGTGGGCCTGCTTGCCTGGGCCTGGTGAATGGGCTAATGAGGGGGTGGGCGTGGGTCTTGGGGGACCATGGGGAATGGAAGCAGCACTTGGGGTTGAGTGCTTGGCCCTCAGCTCCAGATGGGCCCCTTCCTGGGCTCTGCTGCGCCCCTTTCTCCCTGGCCTCCATTTCCTGCCTTTAGCCTCCATCTTGTGGCAGGCCCAGGGCCCAAGGCGACTTCCGGCCCCCCTCTCTCAACCGTGTTCCAGCCCCACCACCTCTGGACTGCCAGCTCCCAACCCTGCTGTCCTTGGCCCTGTGTCTTCCAGCATTTCTCCTGGGTTCTGACCTAGGGAGGGAGGGTGGACACAGGAAGCCCTAGGCCCCTTTGTCGGAAGGCAGCTTGTTGGTCTTCACCAGTCATCCATTTCCTCTGCCACTTTGCTAAGGATCCCAGAGCTGAAGAACTCATCTCCCAGGGCCCTACCCTCCCTGTCGCCTGCTCAACTATGGCTGCTCCTGCTTCTCCGGTGCTTGGGGGGGCCGATGTGCCATTCGCACCTTCTCCATCCCTCGCTCTCCGTGGGGTCTTGATGGCACTGACGACTGCTGTCCTGTCAACCCCCAGTCCTGCTCCCGCCCCAGCAGCACACTGTGGTTTGTACGGCACTGTGGCCACGTCCAAACCACACTGTGGTGTTCGAGCGAGGGTGGGGGAGGCACCGCAGAGGCCCGGCCCTGGGAGGCCACCCTGGAAGCAGCACACACACAACCATCCGGAATATTGTGATGAGGTTCGTGCAAGGTGGGCCAGGGGCGACTGAGAAGCTGGGAAGGGTCCCTGAGAAACCCTGGTGATCTCACACTGGCTGTCAGCAACCCTGGGGAGCTCTGGGGAGCTCTGGCTCCGCAGAGCAAAGGAGAGTCTCTGCTGCCCACACCCAGCCCTCCTGGCTCTAGCAGCACAGAAATATTGGCACAGGGAAGTGAGTCTGCCAATATTGGCTGTGCTGCTCCAGGCAGGGTGGTGAGAGCTACTGAGAAGGGGCTGGGCCCCTGACGGCTAAGGAGAGGCGAGGGAACAGCAGCTGGCGGCACCATACTGAGAGAATGTCTTTATTATAATTTTCTGTATAAAAATGTCCATCAGTTGGAGGTTGGAGGGCGAGGGCACATGGTTAGCAGGAACACAGTGGGCAGCTCCAGCAGCTTTCTGACCCTCTCTCGTGCAGTCCTTGCTTAGAGTCCCAGGGGATCCACAGGTCCAGGGTGAAGAGCAGGGGTCAGAGGTGAAAGGCTCAGCAGGACAGTAGAGGAGCCTCAGCAGAGGTCGAGAGAAGGCCAGAGTCCAGGGTCAGGCTGTCTGGAACAGGATGTAAAACGGACTGGGATGGAGCAAGTGCGGAGATATTTTTTCCAAGCAAACCCTCACCTCCTCAAACATCACGTTACTAACTGAGCCAAGCCCCTGCTGAGTGTCTTCCTGCTGAGCCCTGCAGGAGAGCCAGGCTTTTGCAGGGACCCTCCCCTGCCATCCAGGGAAGTAGCTTCACCCACCCCTGCCAGCGTGGGAGGAGGAGGACTCCTACCCCTGTCAAAGTTGAGTTTCTTGGCTGGAGGAGTTTCTCCCAGCCCTTCAACATCCACCAGGTCGCTGTTGGCGTCGGAGTCGCTGCGAGCACTCTGGGTCACATCTGGGAGGGCACAGGCTCTAGGTTGCCCTGCTTCCCCTCCTCCCCCTGCCAAAGTCAGGCTCTACATACCCCATGACCCGTTTTAGAATCGCCTTCTTTGCCCCAGGCCCAGTTCTCTCAGTGACTCTGATAGGACCTTTAACCCCTACCCTAGGCAGCACCTCCACAGCCCTCACCAGCCTTCTGTTTCTTTAGGGCAGGACCCCCAGCTTCAGGGACACTGGAGCTGCTGGGTGGAGGGGCAGTCGGAGGGGAGAGGACACCAGAAGCCATCTTCTTGGGCCCTTTCTTGGGTGACTCAGCTGGAAGAGGGATGCCAGAGTCTTCATATACTTTCCGCTTCACAGTGGTCTTTATCTGAGCCCTGAAGATAAGAGAGAGAAGATTAGGGAGAGTGTCATCAGAGAAGCTGAGGGAAGAGGGGAGGGGAAAATGGGCCACTCTGAAGGTGTCCAGGTCTAGGCCCTAAGCCATGTGTAATAAGCGCCCCTCCCCGAGAAGCTCTGCACCCACTTAGGGCCAGTGAGTTATGAAGAATGGAGTCCCTGAACTGAGCCACCAGAAAGGCCCTTTTCATGATGCTCTGGGAAAGATGGATGGGTTTGTAGGGCCACCATGTATGTTGTGATATAAAGGCAGATGGAAACTTTTTCATAGAGCCTGACCAACTATTTCAGAATGCATCCCTGGAAATGCTAGTCTCAAAGGATTTATATAAATCGCCAGGGGAGCCTCATCGTCAAATACACCCACTGAAGATCTGGGCGCCCTAAAAGTAAGATTCGCTTAAGGTCCTAGTTACCACTGCATTTCTTGAACTTCTGACCGACTGCCACAATTATATTCTTTCAGTCTTTAAGGAAACGTTAACAAAACTAGCAACAAAGCAGGGAAGACGCTGAGCTAGGCGTTCTGAGGAAGAACAATGGGTAAAGAGGAAGAAAGTTGCCCACCCCTCCCTTTCTCTGCCAGCCACCCTCCCTCACACTGTCCGTTCCTTGATGACACAGCTGATGTGATTAAGATCGTCCCCAAATCGCTTCACAGCAGCCCTCAGCATCTCTATCTCCGTCTCCGTCCACTTGGCACTGTCGGAAGGGGAGAAGGGTGATAGCAAAATCGGAAGGAGGAGTATGTGGAGCCAGCCCACGGGCTATTCCGTCCACAGAGGCCGTCCAAGCAGCCTCTTCCCCCTAGTCTCTGGGGCACCTTTCAAAGAGTCATCGAAAAGGACCGACCTCCGAAGAAAAGCCCTGGGGACAAGCCGCTAGCCACATGAAATTGCATCCGGGGCCACCTGAAAACATCTCTCTTCATCACGTATCAGCTTCGAGAAACAACCCACGGAAACCAATGCAACAAGTAGGGGCCTTCCTGAGAGAACCCTTGAAACCTGCAGCAGCAGTTTGAGGAGTCCACGGGCTTGGGGTGGGTGGGGCACAGTATGTCGCTTTGCACACGGGGGTTGCGGACCTGGCAGTATCTCCACCTGCCACTCACTAGCCCAACAACGATTAACACCTCCACCGCGCTGGGCCGGGCGCAGAGGGATTACTACAGCCCCCGGCGTCCGGGTCCTACGCTGCCCTCACGTACCCGGCGGGGGAAGAGTCCGACACGGGATGCAGCTGCATGGTCAGCTCCCCGAGCTTCGTGAAGGCGGCGCCGGCCGCCGAGAAGATCTCTCCGACCTGGGGGCGGAGCAGCGTGACGGGGGGCCGGCAGCGCGCGGTCCCACCCCGGCCTCCCTCCGCCCGCCCCCCGCCCCGCGCGCACCAGCCGGGAGCCAGGCGAGGGGCCCACCCGCCCGTGGCCGCCAGGGAGCGCAGTCCGCGAGGGAGGTCGAACCTTGGTGGACGCTGACGTCATGGCCCCGCGCACCTCCTCACGGAGACGCTCCGCCGCCGCCGCCGCCACGCGAGCTGGAAACCGCGGAGAGCCCGGCGGTCGGGCGCGCTGGCTCCCGCGCAGGAAGTCCCGCCCCCCCGGCAGCTGATTGGCCGGAGCCCGGCCCCGCGCCAGTCACTCAGGAGGAAGGTGCGCTGGAAGACGCCGCCCCACTTCCGGCTGGCTTCACTCCACTTCCGCCCCGGGGTCGGGACTCCTCGTCCAGGCCGCTCTCGGCGTTCCACAGCCAGCCCGCCCCCTCCCTGAACGCACAGACGCCAGGCTTAGGAGAACCGCTTCTCTTTATTGTAGCTCGGGGCAGGGCGGGCGCGCTCGGCGCCGGTGCCCTCCAGGGGCTGGACAGCCGAGATTGCAGGGCCGGGGGGACTCGGCTCCAAAGGACGCCGGGTGGGCGCAGGAGTCTTTAAATAGAGGAGGGGCGTGGGGAGGGAAAGCCAGGGTGCGGCCTAGCGCACCATGTATTCCTTGCGCTTATTTAGTCGTACTTGGCAGAAGGAGAAGCCTCCCAGGAGGAGGTAGAGGCCCGCGGCGATGAAACAGTTGTAGCTGACCTGGTCGTACAGGCTGTATATGTTCTGAGGGCCGTTCCCCCTGGAGGGTGGCGAGGAAACAGGGAGACGTCAGCCATTCAGAACATCCAGCACACACATACTACGCATCACACATCTTGCTAAGCGCCTTGACGGCTGTTAGTCCTCCCCGACAGCCACACCGGATGAGTGCCGTCGTGGTATGCGGTTTGCAAGGAGTAGACCAAGGAGCAGGAAGACAAAATATTGGAGAGGGACCGTACTGACGCGGCGGCCTGTGGGGTGGCCACGAAGCCTGGCTTGCAGGGCTGCTCCTGAGTACATTCTTGCAGTCCCTCAAACTGGGGCCAGAACCGTCCAGCCTCCGGGAGGGTCCGCCACATAGTTCTGAGCCTAAACCCTGCTACTTCTCATCTGCGCCCCAACTCGCCTAGAAGCACCCAGCCACTTACTCAAAGTCTTTCTCTGTGAAGGGGACGTCCTCAATTAACACAGCAGAATGAACATTGAAAAATATCCCGAGCATTATCTGGAAGAACAAAGACAGGCTGTCAAATCCTTACCTCTTCCATCGCTCCCTAAGCTCCTCCCACTTCTAATGCTGGCCCAACACTTGGGCCTGAGATTAACTAGAAAGGGCCGGGGCAGGGCGGCGGGAGCTGGGTTTGAGCTCAGCCATCTGGAACAGGGCGGGAGGCAGGACAACGCTGGGAGAGTGGCTGGGTACAAGGAGGTATACAGCAGGCAGCTCTGCAGACGCGTCACTGTCATGGGAGCAGACGGAAGAGGTGGGGGCAAGCCCGCACTTCGTAGTTCTGGAAGTGGCGGTGGCAGAGCCCTGGAGAAGCAAGGCTTCAAGTTCCACTTTCGGGAGCAGGTTCACTTAGTCTCAGGGGCCTGGCTCTTGCTTGCCAGAGCTGGCTCCCATTCCCAGGGTCCTACCCCGGCACTGTCGCTCCGGTGCCCCAGTTTTTCCCATCCGAGCTCCGTCTGCTTTCCAAGCGGCTATTTCGCCGGCCCCTCGATCTGCCTGGGGGTTCCTGGCCTCCCAGCCCTCCAACCCTGGAGCGGCCAGGCCAGCTCCGATTCTCGCGGGGTAGCCCCTCACCAACATGATCACCCCCCAGGCGCTGAGGACGATGCCACAGGCGGCCAGCTTGGGCCCACAGCACAGGAGCGACGCCATGGAGGAGGGAGGGAGGGAGCGCCGGAGGCTGAGCGAGGAGCGGGAGCGGCGAGAGGGAACCCGGCGACGCCGGTACACGGAGCTGGCTCGGGGGACTCGGGCTGCGCCGGGGGCGGGGCCTCGGGCGCGGACCACTCCCGGGGGCCGCGGCGTGGAGGAGGATGCGGTGCCGCGCGGCGGAGCGAGCCTCGGGCGGAGGACGCGGGTCGGAAAGCCCAGCAGTGAGCGTACGAGTCCCGCCTGGTCCGGATGGCGCGGGCGAGACTGACGCGGAAACCGGGACCCGAGAGTTCTCGCTGGTCGCCTACCCGGGCTTGGAAATGGAAGGCGCGGGCCTCTCACGTGACCGACCCTGGCGATCACATGACCAGAAGCTGGCCGTGCCCCGGCGTCCCGAGAGGAGGCTGGCGGGACGCGCGCCGCTCGGTGGAGTGGCCGCCGTGGGAGGAGTCCGGGGGCGTCGGATGCCCCGCACACCAGCCGTGGATGGTCTCCGTGGTGGGCACACGTGGGCGAGCCGCGGGGTTATTCGGCGTGCCGGCCTGGCGCCGCTAACGCTGGAGGGGACGGGCTGAGCGTTGCGGACTTCTTGGCCCGGGGAAGGCAATGCAGGATGGGTCTGAGTGACACCTTCGGGAGAAGGCAGGGGCTAGGAAGAGCGGAGTCGCCGGACACCGCGTGAAGGGAGGAGGCAGACCACGCTGCTGGTGCTCCTCTCTCCGCTCAGGAAGCCGCAGGCTGTAAGGAGACACCCTGACCAAGGCAACGGGGGATTTAACCGGGGCTGGCTTACGGCTTCGGCGCTTGGCCGGGAGCGGTAGCCGAGCCCAAATCCTGATTTGGGGGTGAGGGGTGGCAGGACTGACTGGTCCTGGCATGGGCTTTTGGAACCTCAGCGCCCTCTCCCAGTGACACACTTCCCCCAGCAAGGCCACGCCCTCTAGACCTTGTAAATAGTTCCACTCCTGTTAACCAGGCATTCAGTTACATGAGCCTATGGGGCCGTTACCATTCTAACCACCACAAGATACACAGATAAGAATAGGAAGCCTGCTCGGCAGGTCTGCAATCCCAGCACTCAGGCAGATCTCTGTGAGTTCAAGGCCAGCCTGGTCTACAGAGTGAGTCCAGGACAACCAAGGCTACACAGAGAAACCCTGTCTCAAAATAAATAAATAAATAAATAAATAAATAAATAAATAAATAAGTAAGTAAGTAAGTAAGTAAGTAAGTAAGTAAAATAGACCTAACTCTCCAAAACAGGAATTGGTAACTCTGCTATTGAAAAACATATCGGCAGTAATTATTTGGGGTAACTAGAGATGTTTACAGAACACCCCCACCTCCAGGGCTGGGTTCCAGCTCAGGGCCACTGGTGAAGTCGAGTTTTGCACCAACATTGGTGTGCCTGTCATAGTAAGCACAACAGCCACAGAACAATTGCAAGAATGCATTCTGGTCTCCAGACCCCAGAACCAAACAGGAACACTGTTGCTGACTAGAACCTTGTGGCATTTTTCTATATTTTGCGGACCCTGTTCTCAAAACAGTTGTGGAAAAAGACGGTGTGAGACACAGTGGTTACTGTGACTTAAGCAGGCTGGAGGAGTGGGCGGGAGGCAAGAGTTTTCTGTCTTGTTTGGAAATTTTGGGGAAGGAAGCTATTTGGGAAATGGTTTTTATTTGGGACCAGTAACACCTTTATTGGGGGGGCCTTCGGGGTAGGTGTTCAGAATGGAGAAGCAGAGGGAAAACTGGGATTTAAAGTTGGCCACCCAGCATGGGATCTGGTTCCTGGAAAAGGAGAATTAGCTCAAGTAGTTGATTTCATCCGGAAACAGCCTTTTCCTCTCCTTAGCCACGGCTCTTGGGTATTTTGAAACTGGAGTTTTGGGCCCGAGGCCTGTATGAGGTTAGACCAAATCTAGCCTGAAATTTTGCACATTCCTCAGGCAAAGAAGTTTTGTTTTCATACTGTTTTTGCTTGCTTGGTTTTGGTTTTGTTCTGTTTTGAGACAGTGTTTCTTTGTGTAGCCTTGGCTGTCCTGGAACTCAGAGATCCCCTGCCTCCAGAATGCTGAGGTTAAAGGTGAGTGCCCCCATCCCCTGGCTCCAGTTTTGTTTTTAAATGGCTGGATAAGCCAGAAGACTACCTGGTGGCATGTGACGTTCACATATCAGTGTCCTTATTGGGACAGTCACGCTCATGGTGTCGCTGGCTGCCCTAACAGTGAGAGAGCTGAGTAATTGTAGCAGAAACTGTGTGGCCTCCAAAGACTGAACTGGTCCTCTTTGCAGCAGAACTTCCAGTGCCCTGTGGCAGTGTGCCCACGTGGAGAGTTTGCTCAGGAGCGGATTAAAGTCTAAAGTCGTAGCAGGGGTGAGAAGGCGCCGCTGCCTCAGATGGTGATGCTGTTCTCGACGCGGCTGGGCTTGAGGTATTCGTAGGGCAGCTCCAGCTGTGCATTCCGGGCTGTGATCTCCTTTTCCAGATTTCCCAAATCTGCTTGAAACTGGCTGAGCACAGCTTTGCTCCTGGGGTCTGAGAAATATTTTTCTTTGTGGTGTCCTAGAGGTACCTGAAACAGAAAGGGCCCTTCAGGTTCCAGCCCAAGGACAGACGCCCTGTCTCCTGATGCCCCTCCCGTGGACACGGTCCTGGGTCCTGACTCACCATGTCTGGCTGGAGGCGCCCCAGGTGCCACGTGATGGTCATCTGCAGACAGGCCTTCTGGGCGTCAGGGAGTGACCCCATCACAGTTTCCATGGTCACACCGTCCTTGCTGGTGGGCGGCGGCATCCTCATTGTACAAGGAGCGTTGGGCACCCAGCCGTACCAGTCCAGCTGCAGAGGGAAAGCGCCCCTCCTGAACCCAGGACTGGGATTTGAATCCCGCCACTCCCTGGCATTTCCCAAGGGCCACACACTTGCTCCCAGGGCCCTGAGCCTCCAGCTCTCCGTACCTGGCCCTGGTTGATGGCAGCGTGCTGGGAAGTGCACGTGAAGACACACATGGTAAGGAAGTGGCAGAGCTGAGCCCGGGACTGGAAGGACACAGGGAAACCTGGCAGGGAAGAGCAATAGCCTGGCGAGGTGGCACACTCCTGTAATCCCGGCACTCTGGAGGCAGGGGCAGGCAGCTCTCTATGAGTTCCAGGCCAGTCTGGCATATGAAGTGAGTCCAGGACAGCCAAGGCTACACAGAGAACCCCTGTCTCAGGAAAAGAAAAATGGTTTGGTAGCTCTGTAGTTTAGAAGAGATGTGTGTTTGTTTCTGTAGCCATGTTTATCCGATGCTGGTTTCAGTACTGGTTACCTCTTCTTAGAGCAGTTGCCTAACCTCCCCACAGTTCTGTTCTTTTTCTGTCCGCACACTGGATGTAGCATGCAGCCCCAGCTCAGAGGCAGGAGGATTGTGAGTTCCTGTCCAGTCCAGCCTGCACCATTGTCTGGGTTACACAGTGAGACTTTGTCTTGAAAAAAAAAAGACATCAGAGCCATCTGCTTTTAATTAATGCTCAGCAAATAATAGACCTGTTCCAGGACCAGGAGCTGGGTGGCCGTCACCCGAGTGGGTTAGGGATTTAATGACATACCCTCCTATTCCTGGACAGAGACTTAGAGCCCCTCAGGTGCAAAATGGAGAACAAGTGAGGTCCTGAGCTGGTCGTGGTGGCACATGCCTACAACCCCAGGACTTGGGAGGTTGAGGCAGGAGGAACATGAGTTCAAGGCCAGCCTTCACCTCATAGTAAGTCTGAGGCCCAGCTAAGCGAAATGACCCTGTTTGAAAACAACAAAGTCCCAAGTTCACCTCACGCCAATCATTTTACAGTGCTCATGGTGCTCATGGGAGCTTTGCGTTGAGCTGGTGCGTGTATAATTCCACCTGTTTCCTAGATAAGAAATGAAAGCTGGGGAGATTAAAGCACGTGTCAAGATGGCCCGGTGTGGGGTGGCAGGGGAGCAGAGGCTGGCTTTGAACTTGGGTTCCTGGCTGCTTTTCCATTACCCACTTTAATTCTAGCATGCTTCCTCCAAACTTAGGCAAAGATGAGCTTTGAGAGCCAAGAGAGCAGAGAGAGGAAGGCCTGCAAAGCTGCTTGAGGAGGTTAAATTATGGTGTGACGGCTGTTTGTATTTCCACTCCCAAGTTAATATTTTGTAATTATTCACCAGCGAGGACATGAGGAGTCTTTGGGAGGATATGCGGTCATGAGGGTAAGTGATGTCGGTGTCCTTGGGAGAGAGGTCATGGGCCCATGAAAGTCACCCCTGAGCAACCTGGAATAGTGACTCCCGGAACCCAAACGTGCTAGTACCTGACCTCAGACTTTGAACCTGCAGAGTGATGCGAAATAAACTTCTGGTGTTTAAGCCGTCCTGTCTCGCTTCGTTACTTCAGTCCAAACCATCTAAGACACTGAGTGTTAAGGGTCAATTTCGGGATGTAGATCCTGCTTGAGCATAGGGCCAGGGAGAAAAGAAGGGTCAGGAGCGAGAAACGAAGGGAAGGGGACTGAAAGAAACCTGAGAGCCAGAGAAGAGGAGGCCCTGTGTTCAGGTAGCCAGGGAGGGTTAGTTCTTTCAGTAAGTGAAGGAGGAAGAGGATGGGAGCTCGCTGAAGACAGTGGCTGCATCCTGACTGCTGGGGGTAGGGGGTGCACACCAGGGCCAGCTTAGGCAGAGAAACCTGAGCCCTGATCGGCAGGCAGGAAGAAAAGGGACAGCCATGTCTGGACGCAGTGGGCTTTGGTGGGAACTGTGCCCTGTGTGTGTCTTCAGGGAGAAAGATAGAGAACCATGAACACAGAGCATGAACCCCGGTGGGGACCGGGCAGCACTCATGGGCCCCAGCTGTGGCTGGTCAAGTGACTGAGGGCCTGGGTGTGTGTGCGGGGCAGGCCCTTCAGGAGGACAGCTGGGTGTGCAGACGGTTCTGGTGTCAGGGGGCGTGATTGGGGGGCTCAGACCTGGGGTCTGGGGAGGGGTAGACCCTACCTCTGTCCTGGGCGTGGCACAGCCCCACCTCAGTGATCTCTTGACACCAGGCCTGCAGCTCTGGGTCTCCCTGCACCACAGCATCGCTCTGGTAGAAGAGATGGACCATTCCCTTCACATACCTGCCCAGAGAAGGACGCTGAGCTGAGCGAGGCCAAGAGAGCTGCCTCGCCCCTGCGCCCCCGTCCTACGGCCGCCTCTCATGCCGTGCCTGGGTCAGATCCTACCAGATCTGTGTCCTGAGGTTTTACTCTTCGTTTAAAATTTCGGTTTATTACAGTAGTGGGGCCAGAGTGAAGGCTTTGCTCGTGAAGCAGGCATGCTGTGGCTGTGACTGAGCCACCCCCCCAGGGCTGCGTGTGTCGTGCGTCGGTGTAAGGCGAGGCGGGAAAGGCAACTCTAGCGCCCTGTGACTGCGCTGGCGCCGCCACTCCTCCGGAAGCCGCGGGTCCGCCAGACCCCAGCCTCCTCTGACGGCGCTCCCGTCTGCGCCCTGCTCCCTCTAGCCCTGTTTTTAAACCTTGCAACTGCCTCCATCTTCTCCTTCACCCTGTCCCTGGGGAGCCTCCCCGTGCCCTCTCCCTCACCTGGAGGTCACTTCCCAGAGCTGCAGCGCATCCCGAGCGTAGAGGGCGCCTGGGACGCTGAGCAGGCCCCGGTCAGCCAGGTCGTCCGGGGGACAGAGGGCGCGGTAGGTCAGCTGAGCCACCGCCCGCCTGAGCAGCTGAACGTGGCCGCCCCCGCCTGTGCTCACCACCTGGCAAGAGAGCGGACAAGTGTCTGTGGACAGAAGCACGGCTGCAGAGCGAGGGCAGGCCTCGCAGGCCCCAGGGTTTCAGGGAGGCTGCTCCTGCAGCCCCGAGTGTCCAGACTGTCCAGCCGGGAGCCCCTTACCTGATCAAAGATCCCCCCATCCGAGATGAGCTGGGTCCGGCTTCGGGTGTTGATCTCCATAGTGTAACGGATGTGCGGAACTAGAAGCTGGGCGGACATTAAGGGCCTGTGTGTGAGACCTTCTCGGCCGCCGCTGACCCCAGACATGGTGCCCTGCTGGCCTCTGGCGCCTCCGTTCGCTGCTGCTCTGACCGCATTCAGGGGCCTCTGGAGCCAGTGACCAGGGTTTCAACCCACACCTTGTTCCACCTCATCTGCAACGCCCGCGGCGGCCAGCAGGGGGCAATAGCCCCTCATGTGAGGGAGCGTGGCAAAGGGTCCACATAAGGGATCCCCATTCACAGCTGTGGTTCGCTTCCACCTTGACTGGAGGCGTCTTTTGGGGGCTCTCAGCCCCTTTGATTGTATTCTTTTTCTTATATTTTATCATTTATATCCCCGCAGCTTAAATTAGCCTGTATATCCCTTATCCAAACTGCACGGCCACGATTTGGTTGTTTGATTTTGGGTTTCTCCAGCAGGGCCTTGGGGGGAGGGTCTGTGAAGCTTCTGCCCCCCAGCCCTGCTGGTGCTGTTGGGCCTTCCCTCCCTTTCCCCTCCCTTTCCCTCGGCTCTTGTAAAAGGCCACCTCAACCTCATGTTCTTTTGTCTTCTTTTCTTCCATAGTTAATAGTCATACTTCATCCAGTTTTGGCATGTGTCTGAATTTCTCATGCCAAACGCAGGAGCAACTCGAGTGATCTCTTTGATTTTGAGATATCAGAGCAGCTCACATTGGCTGAGAGCTTTTGGAAAGATCACACAAGCTTCCAAATGACACGGAATGCCCAAGTCCGCATGAGAAAAGATGCCTGGAAACAGCCCGTGGGAGATGGGCACAGGAGGAGCAGAGAGGCTTAAGGAACCCTTTGGTTATGGAGAGTTTGAGGCCAGCCTGGGTCATCCGAGACCTCTGTCCCAGCAGCAAAACAGCACAAGAAATGGACATTTGGGAAAGCAAAGGTCAGATCTGGAACTGAGACTATGACCGCTGAAGTCCAGAGTCTGCAAGGCGAGGTGGCCCCCCGGGACGTGTGAGCAGTCGCCTGCCCGCCTGTGTGGCCTGTGGCGTGCACAGTTTGCCAAGGGATGCCACTGTGAGGGTGGTGGAGCCGGAGGAGGCTAAGCCAGAGAGGAAAATGTGAAGAGACTTCAGGTGTGCACAGGGTGGGAAACACAGATCAGCTGGCCTCACGCCACAAATAAAATGCAAGAATCGACTACTCAGACCATGTAAGCCAAAGGGCTGATTCCCACGGGTTCCCAGCCATGTCGGCCAGGCGTGCGCAGAGTGAGCAGCTGTCCTGCGCTGTTCTCACCGGACATCCCACCCTCTGCCCAGCCTTACCTTGAAGACAGGGTGCAGGCCTGGAAGGCACCGCATCGTGGCGACAGCGATGACCTCGGCCACCAGGTGCGTGTGCAGCAGGTGAAACTGGAGCTCCTGCAGCTGGAAATCTGAGCTTCGGACCCAGATCTTAGCCAGGAGCCAGGCCAGCGGGGGGTCCGAGGGCAGGAACAGTGCTGGAGCTGGGCAGCCGGGACGGGGAGGCTGAATCTGGGAGCGACAGAAATTGAGAGTTTCTCAAACTCCCACTCTCTGTGTGACACGGTCACGGTTCCTGGCGAGGTCAGTGACCAAGCAGAAGTGTTTCCTTCTGATGGCTGATTCCCAGGCATAAGGATGAGGACGCTCTCCCAGCTAGACTGCTGTGGTGGGCAGGCTGGATGGAGAAGATGGGAAGCAGGGTCCAGAGAGAGGGCCGAGCAGTGGTGCGGGCAAACACAGTGGGGTCAAGCGATGGAGCAGAAAGCAAAAGCTGATCAGATGTGAGCCCGGATTGGTGCACCTCTGTGATCCCAGCACTCAGGAAGTAAAGGCAGGTGGATCTCTGTGGGTTCAAGGCCAGCCTGGTCTACAGAGTGAGTGCAGGACAGCCAAGGCTACCCAGGGAGACCACAAAAACAGTACAAAGATGTAAGATTATTGTGTTTTGTTTTGTTTTTTGAGGCAGGGTTTCTCTGTGTAGCCCTGGTTGTCCTGGACTCACTTTGTAGACCAGGCTGACCTCGAACTCACAGAGATCTACCTGCCTCTGCCTCCTGAGTGCTGGGATTACAGGCGTGTGCCACCTTGTCCAGCTGAAACCTGTCTTTTTAACAAGTACTTAATGTGACTCAGAAGCGCACTAATACTTGAAAACTGTTGATAACAGGATGAGAATTCAAGAGGCCGGTTTTTGGTTTTTTGTTTTGTTTTTAGGTCTTAGTATGTTCCTCAGGCTGGCCTGAAACTTGCCATGTACCCTTGGGTAGTCTTGAACTCATGATCCTTCTGCCTCCAGAGTACTGGGATTGTGGGTGTGCAACACACACACACACACACACACACACGTTCTGTGACTCCTGAATGAGCACTTCCATTCCGGTGGCTGTGAAATGAGGGTGGCTGTGAAATGAGGGCGGCTGTCAGCAGAGGACAGTGTTGGCAGTGTGGTGGTCGGGAGGCTCGCCTGGATGGCCATGGGCAGCAGCTTCCCCGCGGGGTCCAGCCTCAGCATGACCAGAGGCGCAGCCAGGAACTGCCGCTCTCCTTCGATCACGTTGGCGGGGATTCCGTCCAGCAGGATGAAGTCAGCCTCAAACAGGGAGCCGTTCTGGAGAAGGGAAGGCAGCCAGTTTTAGAGTTCAAAGGCCCGTCTCAGCGTCCCGGTGGCCTAGTCCTAGCATTGCCAGGCGCTCCCCCTGTTCACAGCTTCCATCACCCGGCAAGCCCCCTCCTCAGCTCTCTCACGCCCTGAGGAATAGTCCACACAGTTCCCCAGCTGTCACCATCCTGGCGACCACTTCCCAAACTCAGCTCTCTAAACACTTCCCAGAAAACCTCCTGAATCTCCCCTCTCCACAGCGCAGCCTTTGCCTCTCCGCCTGCCTGCGGAGATCATGGGAATCCAGGAAAAATGACAGCGGCAAGAATGTCCTGTCCCTTCCTGTCCCTGTCCCAGCCTGTGCCCTGAGGACCCGTGGTGTTCCCACACGGGCAGCTTTTACACACAGCGCCGTTTTCCAGGCGTTTGTCGTTCTTCTCGAGCTTGCACCATGGGGTACCTCGCTTCCTGTCTGGACATTGGCGTCCCAACCTCCCTGAGTCTTACACTCAGCAGAGAACAGTGGCAGACAAGAGGAAGCACCTGCAGTTCTTTCTCTAGCTGGGCTTGAAGCTCCCCTGTCCCCGGGGGCAGCGCCAGCCTGGCGGGCAGGGAGGTGGCGCGTCTCAGCAGCATGGGGTTGGCACCGTTGAGGAACTGGTAGCCGAAGAGCTCGTCCTCCTGCCAGCGCTGGTGAACTTTCTCTGTGGTGCAGGAAGGAGGCGAGTTGGCTCCGCTTGGACGCGTGCGCCCTCTACGCTCAGCCCCCGGGCCCGGGCTGCGGCGCTCAGCCCGTTCGGGAGAGCCGGGAGCCCGGAAGCCACCCACCAGCCAGGGCACTCTTCCGTCCCCAGAAGATCTGATCGAAGTCCTCCAGGCAGTTCCAGCTTCGCAGGAGTGTGTAGACGCGTTTGAGGCCCATTTCCAGGACCCTAGGACGGGGTTAGGACGTGAGCCGCACTCGGCCCGAGGGCAGCCCAGCATGCCAGGCCTCCCCGCCCGAGCCGCCGGCCCTTCCTACCCCGCCTTCAGCGTCCACTCGAAGTCCAGCCTCTTCTCCTCGTGGAAGCGCATGTTCGGGGGCAGGTCCTCCTTACAGTCCGCCGCGATGGTCCGCGGCAAGCCTTCCTTCCAGGTGGCCCAGCTGGAAGGTGGGGGCGACACTTCAGGGCGGGCTGAGGCCAGCGACACGGGCGGGGCGCAGGCGGGCCGTGGGGGGCGTCACCAGTAGGTCTGCCGCCGCTCCTTCAGCTCCCGGTCCCGGTGCTCCTGGAACGCCGCGGCGCCGGCTCCTGCCAGGCGGGCTGGGGAGGCCGTCGGCGCTCAGCGAGTGCTTCGGGCCTCCCCCGTCCCACGCTCCTCCGCGGGGCGCGCGCTTCCTGCTGGCCTCAGTTTCTTTACCTCCAGCTGTGAGTCACCTGACGACCCCCAGACACACTCATCCGGGTCTCGCCTGTTCCCCCCAATTTCACTTCAACCCACATCTCTCCCTTCCAGACCAGAACCCGTATCTGCACACACACACACACACACACACACACACACACACACACACGCCTGCTCACCTGTAGCCCCCATCACCCCGGCACACACACACACACACACACACCCGCTCACCTGTAGCCCCCATCGCCCCCAGCACACACACACACACACACTCACCTGTACCCCCCATCGCCCCCAGCACACACACACACACACACACACACACACCCGCTCACCTGTACCCCCCCATCGCCCCCAGCACACACACACACACACACACACCCGCAAGCCCCCCACACACACCTGTGCCCTCGGGCAGGCTCAGGACCCCATCGCCTTGCAGCCAGCGGTAGCAGGGGAACACGGCCCCCGCGCCCCCGGGCCCCTCGACGGCGATGAGGCTGCAGAACCAGGAGTCGTCCACCACCGCGTGCCGCTTGCGCAGTTTCACGAACTGGAGGGGCCCGAGGTCCTCGGGGACCTCGACGTGGAACTCCTCCTCCTGCGGGGACCAGGCTTGGTGGGAGGGGATGGGAGCCGCCCCCTCGCGGAGCCGCGGTGTCCCGCAGCGGCGCGGACCGCGCGCCCCGCCCCGCCCTCCTGCGCCCCTGTCCGGGCTCCGAGGCGCCCCGCCGACGGCGGCCGAGCTGACGGCATCGCCCTCCACCCGCGCCTGCTCCCCCGCGCCGGGACCTGAGATGCTTCGTGAGCACAAGCCCCGGGTTCTCCGCGCTCCGAGGCTAGGCGCGAGGAGTCGGCGGCCGCGCGCGCCGGGGCCCGGGGAAGCGGCCGGCCCGGCCGGAAGGTGGCGCCGCCCGCCCCTGGCCAGCCCCCCACGCCCAGGCAGGACTCGGGGCCGCTCTCGCCCACTGGCCCCGCTGACCTTGCCCCGCGCGGGCCGCAGCTGCAGCTCCAGTTTGGCCTCCCGGTGCGCCCCGACCAGCCACAGGGCCACCCGGTTGAGGGATCCCGAGAAGAGCCAGGCCCCGGTGACCACGCGGACGCGGTAGCGGCCCATGGCGCCCTCTGGCCTCCCAGGAGGCCACCCAGATCAAGCTCAAGTCCAAGACCGCCCAGGGCCACCGTCGCCTCGGGGCCAGGGCCAAGGCTTTAAAAAGATGGGTCCGTGTCCCCGCCCTCACAGCTCCTGGGCACGCCCGAGTCCCCGCCCCGGACCAGCCCGAACCTGCAAGGCAGCCCGCGAGCCGGCTCTGGGGAAGGGCTGTGCGGCGGAGAAAAAGCAGAGGCAGGAGGGGGCGCCGGGAAGTGGAGGGGTGCTGGGGGGGAGGGGGCGCTGGGAAGGGGAGGGGCGAGAGGGAGGGGAGGAGGGAGGGGGAGGCTGGGGCTTCTCTAGACTTTCAGAGCATCCGGAGGCAGGAGCCGCAGGCCAAGGAGGCTGAGGGCCCTTCCAGACGCCTCTGGGTGTTCACAAGCGCTTGCACAGGGCTTGGACCCAGTTTTCAAATGGAAGAGGGAAAACCTTTGGTTGTGGCCGAGAGCAGAGCAGCGCGCCTCGAAGGCCACCCCTCCCCGGCCCTCCCCGCCCCTCCCCACCCTCCTCACCCCTTCCTTCTGCCCCCACCCCTAGCATTTCTCCCGCTCACCTGACATCAAGACGTCAAGATTTCAAATACACCAAGCGTCATGGGCCAGACGCCTGAGGGGGGCCAAAGGCAGAGCGGGCCTCGTTCCGTCCCCTCTGTCAGCCGGCGCAGAAAGCCCCAGCCTGGGCATGGGGCGCAGCGTAGACTCAGTAGACGCCCAGCAGATACGGCTGGTCCAGAGTTCCCCCCTCCAGGTAAGGAACGTGGGCCCTCTCCAGCGGAGCCCAGGTCGACTCCTGCCCAAGCTACGGCCTGGCCTCGGGTCTCAGAAGAAAGCCGGAACAACAGTTAGCGCTGTTGGTAGGGACTCGGGCTTTGTCACCTGCTCAAGTCCCGAACGAGGCTTTTGTGAACTAAGGCGGTAAGGTTCGGCGGCCTGGGGTCGCTGGCCAGGAAGATTGCGGAACTGGGATGCTGCTTGCTGGCAGGGGAACTGAGTCGCCTAGGTCTCGCCGTCAGGCCTCCAACCCGGAGGCGGTGGACGCCATCCTCACGGCCTTTCGCCCGTTGCTCCGGATCCGGGGCCCTGAAGTGACAGCTCCCTGCCTTGCAGGGCTGTGGTGTCGCCCTTTTCCGTGCGTTCCCCATGGTCCCTAACGGCAGGCTGGGGCCCTCTTGCCTTCTCGAAGAGTTTGGGTCGCTCAGACTTACTAGATGATTCCGTAATTCAAAACTGCCTCTCCAGGGCCTTGTGACTAGTTTCTGCCACCGCAGTGTGCGGTGAGGTTACACGCGCGCGCGCACACACACACACACACACACACACACAGCTAGGAAAGAAACCTGGGCCGCTGCGTGCTAACGTCACCTCCCCCCCCCCCCCCCCCCCCCCCCACCACCCCCCGCTTCCTCCCCGGGACCCCCGCTTCTCAGGACCTGCTCCCCCTTCGTTGTCACTGTTTTCATGCACAGCTGGTATGTTGAGAAGATGCCTTTGGTTTTTAATAGTTTTCCGTCGCGCTGGGCATTGAGCTCAGAGCCCGGTGGATTCTGTCCATTTCTGAGGGACCCATGTGAGGCTACAAGCCATTCAAGCCTTGTGCAGCTTCGGTCCTCAGGGGCTGAAAAGAACGTGTACGTTCCTGAACACATTCTCTCAGATGCTTCCCCCACCCTCTCTCCTGATTTCTCCCCTGTTTATTTGTTTATCTATGGACCAGGCTGGCTTAGAACTCACTGAGCTCTGCCTGCCGCCACCTCCGGAGTGCTGGATTGAAGGTGTGCACCAAGCCCAGCCCTTTCCCTGCTTCCCAACAGAGAATTCAGCATCGGATTTAAATCTGTCTCTGTGCTATTGTCTACCTACAGATGGCGCAAACAGGGACAGGGCCTCGGATTTGCGCAAACAGGGACAGGGCCTCGGATTTGTGCAAACAGGGACAGGGCCTCGCAAACAGAGACGGCCCTTTGCCGTGGAAGGTCACGTTGGCACAGGGGCACACTTCAAAGCTAACCTCACTTGCTCTAGACTTCAGTGCCTGCCGTCTGTGCCGGAAGCCAACCCTGCTTCCCGTGACCCATCTCTGCAGCTTTTACCAGTGATCACAGCTTCTGTCACGGGGTCCTGCCAGGGGATGTGGACAAGCAGGGGACGTCTGCACTTCTCTGCTAAAAACGCTCCCGAGAGCTTCTTCTGAGCAGAACAGTTCCGTCCCTTTCTTTATCCCATGCCGGCATGCCGCACTTTGCAGTCCCTTTTTTTTTTTTTTTTTTTTTTTGGATGATGCCACTACTGTCTTTGTGGTGTCATTGTTTGGAGTCTCTGGATGGAATGGATATGTTAATTCCTATCCGTTTCCTGAGGCTTTACTCATAAGAAAGCCATTCTTAACCATGTTATTTTTGGTGTGTGGCCATAGGCTATGATTTCAAGGCAGATAATGTAACATTTCCCTTTCTAATTGCTAACTGGGGTGCCCCCTTCAGGACTGCCTCCCTGAGTGTGGTCGCTGGTATCTGGTGTGACAGGAGAAACTTTGTCCGTGAAATCCAATAAGTCATTTCCTGAGGCTTTGCTGACACCCTGCGTAGGCCGCAGCAGAGATGAGGCAGAGCTTACAAACTCGGGGGTCACGTAAATTTGGACAAGGTCTGGACCCACAGGTGGAGAACAGGTTCTCAGTGATGCAGCCTCCTCAAAGCCAGCAGCAAGAAACATCCCGGTTCTTCCAGTGGCTGTGACCCCCCCCCCCCCTCAGAGGAGGTAAAGGTGGCTGAGGGCACGGAACTCTGAGGTGGCATGTGTAGCAGCTGGAACCTGATGTCTCAAAGACTCCAGGACCAGGGGCATGCCGTAGGAGAGGCAGAGAAAAGGGCCCTGAGCATCAGAGGAGATGCCTCCTCTGAGACTAGGAACAAAAGGGAGTACGGGACGGTGGCAGCACATTGGAAATGACGTATGGACACTTGTCATTTATCTGGCGGCTGACTTTTTTTTTCTTCCTGTGAGATGGAGAGCAAGGAAGTGACTCCATGCCCGGCTGCCATCCATTTCCTGTCATCAGAAGTGTCCCTCCGGCTGACTGGCTCTACAATCCCCGCATCACCCACACCTTGGATGGCATGGCCTGAGATGCTTCATTCTTCCTTGTTTATTTCCAGGCCTTCTCCTCAGTGATGGCGCTGTTGAGGGCAGTGAACGTTCTCTGAGGTGGGGAGCTGGGACCCACCCGGAGCCTCGTGAAGCCAAAGCATGTCCTTCTCTGCCCCCAACTGCACTCTAGGCCCATTATTATTTTATCACGTTTAAAAAGAGCCTTACCTTTTTACCTCTTTTTAAAGGTCTGCCTTGCCCGCCATGTTTCCAAAACCAAGATGGTCTTCAAGGTAAATTAAATAAGTGTCTATAATTTGAACAAGGCAGGTGAGCTTGTGAATTCCAGAAATATAGGATTTGAGAGGCAGAGGCAGGAAGATCAGGGGTTCAAGGACAGCCTGGGGTTGAGACCCCATCGTAAACACAAACAAACTACACCCTGCCTTTGGCAAAGGATACTGAGGATGTGTTCGAACTAAGAAAATTAATGTGTCTAATTCACTCCTACAAATTTCTGAGACGTAGCTACTACCCTAGCTCAAAGAGGTTCTGTCAAAACAACAAAGGTCAAACAGCTTAGGCTCTGTCGCGAGCTCAGTTCTTGTCACTCTTCCTGTCTGTGACTCTTCGATGCCCTCCTCTGTCACTATAGTGAATCCACTCCCACGCTTATTCCTAACTTGCTCATTTTAAAGTAGTTTTTTAGGTCAGCGTACAAAGTAATGGAAAGCCGCTTTGCCCGAGACTATCCTTAGGGCATGTGGGATCTCAAACAAATATAATTTCTGTAAGCTCCTCTCTGTGCAAATTATTTATTTAAAATTTATTCTATTTTAGGTGTAGAAGTGTTTTGCCAAAATGTGACTGTGTCTGTGTGTCTGTGTGTGTGTGTGTGTGTGTGTGTGTGTGTGTGTGTGTGTACGTGTGTACCTGGTGCACACAGAGGCCAGAGGAAGGCATCAGATCCCCTGGAACAACGGTTACAGGGGGTGACTTAACCAACCGTGTGCGGAACCGGGTTCTGCCCGCCAGTGTGTAAATGGCCCGATTACATGTTTATAACCTAATTTATCGGTTTAAATGGACGTGTAGAACAATATTACATGCAGAGTCGAGGCACCATGGACACCCATGCTCTTCAGACACGCGTTGTGCCTGCAGCATTGACAGCTGCTTCAGTCATTCCTTTGAGAGAAACGCTTTTGGGGGGCGTTTCGGAGTCTTTCCTATTTGATGAGCCTTTATGCAACGAGTGTTTTATTGGTGATTTTGTATAAGGGGACGGTGGGGGAAAAGTAAGTTTCCCTCAGAATTCGGAGGTGAAAGTGTAGGGGGGACTTTTAACAAGGGAGCCTTGACACGTGGCTCTTCTGTGAAGGAGGAGGAGGAACCTGTGCCCTCCTTGTTTCTCTTACCCTCCCCTGCCTTTGCCCATCTCTTCTCTCGGTTCGCCTTGATTCTACTCTGGAATCCCCTCTGTCTTGTGTTGCTCTAACCCCACTGATGTGAGGAATATGCTAAGCCTCCCCTGGTAGTTCTGAATGTAGCAGTTATGTTAACATGTGCTCCTGCTCCCTCTGAGCCCTTTCTGGCCCTCTCCACTGTCTGGTGATCCTTAGCTGTCCCCTGAGAACGGACATTGTGGGAGGTGGGGGCTCTGGGCAGGGATCTCTGCACTTGGCGATCGGTCCCTTGTGGCCAGGCTCGGTGGCTCTTTTCTTTTCACTGACGCTGGCTTTCTCCAGAGATGAACTTGATAGATGCCGGTTGGGGTCACAGAACCTTGACCATGAGCACCGTGAAGAAGAGGACTAGGGATCCGGCAGTCAGCCGGTGGCTCTCCTTAGCTTCTGTGTTCAACTGGACACATGTGCTAAC